AAGAAAAATGGGAGAACTTTCAGGAGAAACAGTACTGTATTTCGAACGCACCATCAGCACGCGCCCTTCAAGCATCAAATAAGAACTCTCCCCCTCCATCACGTATATACTGATGCCCTCGTGTTTTCCTTCAATTTCAGTGAGCTTTCTAAAATGCCACATTTGTCGACAGTACCCCCACGTTACATTCCCTTCTGTATCTCACTGCGTCATGTGCATTGTGTCATATCGTCATTGTGTAGAGACTATAGAGAGCAACAAGTTAGGCGAGGAAACCATCAGTTCCTAATGTATACAGCAGCTCACAATGAGCAGAAATATATCCCCTCCAAAATTTGTCTCTCTTGTGGTTATTCTGAACAGCTGGAGAAGCATCAGATATTTATTTTACCTGAATTTTGCACAACTGGTGTTTCATTCCAGGGTGATTTCTTGTGTGAAAGTGTCGGATTATTTTAACTTTCGGATTGAGAAAAATAACCCCTCTTTGAACATGCGTTCTCATCGGCACCAATAACAAGGCCAACAAAAAATTATACGCAGAAAATCCCGTGTTACATCAGTGAAGAACATATAGTTATTTTACAGTCTTTTCTGCGGTGGTGAAAAGGTACACGATTGAGGCAAATCTCACCGTGATCCCATCTCCGCTTACAAAACACCCGCACGCTGGGATAACCCGAGGGACGATCAATTAAGTCACTGCTGAAAAAGCAATAAGATTAAGCTCCAGGGTTTAACAAATCCACACAGTATTCATCAGGATATAGAAAGAAAAATATATTCTCAAGGTACTCGGAACAATGAAAATGTCGAAAATAAAGGAAAGAAGGAAAGTGCTGATGGTGTCATTGCTGATGGGCATCACGATAATCCTGCTGTCATTCGCATACTTTACATCTTCCTGGAGAATCTTAAAATATCGCAATAATAACCGAGTCGACGACGAAACCGAAAAATGCCTCGGTGTGTTCCAAAGCAACGGCACGGTGAAAAGTGATCTCAAGTGGGAATTGCCACATTTACATCTTCCTGGAGAATCTTAAAATATCGCAATAATAACCGAGTCGACGACGAAACCGAAAAATGCCTGGGTGTGTTTCAAAGCAACGGCACGGTGAAAAGTGATCTCAAGTGGGAATTGCCACACTGCAAACTCAAGATTTTCCCGCAAATAGAATCGGGATCGTGTCTCAAGCGCAGATTCGCAAACAAGCTCAACAACCGGTTCTTCTTCATCGGAGACTCGACCGTTCGGATAAAGGCCATGGCCCTGGCGAGATTCTTCAACCTCACACTGGATTGCACGGGGTATTGCGACGAGTTCAAAAAGATGATATTGATACACTGGAAAGACGAAGCCTCAAATAGCACAGGGATTGACTTTCATTTCAATCCATATTTCAACCCCTACACGAAGGTATGTATATATATACATAGTGTGTTCACCAAGATGATTTTCTAGAATTTGTTGATGGTGCGCATATTAGAGACCCAGACATAATTGGAACGTCAGCCTTGTCCGTAAACGTCAGCTAGACCTTTTGTTTACCCATAGGAGATGGAAATACTTCTCATTGATTCTCCTGTATAATAGAACAAAAATTTCGAAAAATTCTCCCCAAAATTGAAAGAGAAGTCTTTTTCATCAACTCAAAGCCACAGAAAATGAATGTTCAGAAAAAACCACACAGAATCTGATTGACATCACAATAAGCTCAAGAATCGCAGAACAAGAACAAGAACAGGTTTTATACTTTACTGAGCACACTTGATCAAATAACTTATTTTAATAAAGAAGCACAAAATTAGCTTGTTTATGATTACGAATATGGGTAATTTTGAGGTAACCTGCATTTTGAGTATCTTCAACTGCTGTAAATTACTCAATTTCTTCAACAAATACAATTTAAAAATTTAATTATGAAAATGTTTCCAGAAATTTTGGGAATTTCAAGCTATTAATTGTCCAGATGTTGGGTAAACCTTTTTGGTACTTTCCTGTTATCTCAGTACCTCATTCCTAGACTGCACTATACCATCTAGACAAATCTTTAGGACAAGTTCATAATAACAACAACCTATACCATTTTGAATACCACAAACTTATTCACAGACCAAGGACTTTTAAGATGGACAATTTTGAAGCTAAAATTAAAATTTAATAATTTATTGGATTCATTGGCTACATTTCAAACAGCAAAAAAGGAAAAAGAATTGCAACAGGCTTCAATACTTAAAAAAAACGATTACCTATTATAACCACAAAATTCTTCTTGGCCAGAAAAAACAGTATAAAAAGAGAGAAATTTTCAAGAGCTGATACTTTAATTTGAAACCAGTATGCCTAATAAGTGACTTTGAGTATAACACAAATAAGCAGAGAACACAACAGGTTCAACGTTCAACACTTTTCAATTTGAGGTCAATTGAATGGCAACAACAATTCAAATTTCCCATCAATTTTCATCAATCACAGAACAAAAAAAAAACAGCATCTATCCTTTTACAATTTGTTGGCAAAGTATCATGCAAAGTGTGTACCATATTCTTGGAAATTTGGCTGGAGTTTGCATTTGAATCACACGCAGAAAAGCTTAGCATTATGCAATATTTATTCCATTCCACATTTTGATGAACATCTATATATAGCTCATAAAATATCTCTTCCAAAAATTTGTTCTCAATTTATTCATTGAATAGGATAAAGCAACAAGTTCAAAGTTGAAGCATAAACCAATGATAATTTCTGTATAAAAATCAGAGAAATTCTAATCTAAGATATGAGACAGTGAGTAAAAAATGGGAATCTTCACTATATATAAATAGTTCTTTCAGTCCATGATTTAATATGAGAAAAGTATGTTATTTGATGGCAAATTATGAGTTAAAATAGATGAGTCTTCTACTTACATCTTAGCCATGTGCAATTCACTTTGTACAATATTTGGTCACTATTACAAAGCAGAATTGAATTCAAATGCAGCAATCTTCTCTTCTTTAATTGAGATCAAGTACATTCATAATACTGTACATGTATAGTTACATGATAAAAAAAAATCATAGTTCGGCCGTGGATGATGAAAACATTTCGAACATCTCTTCCACACAATTAAAACGTTCTTATATTACAGATTGATATTCCTTTCATCAGGTTCTGCACTAAATATAGAACATAAATACACAGTACTCGCTGCGGGGAATTTGGTAGAACTGAAGTACGTCCAACACACTGGATCATCGAATTACCTTATTAGATTATTCTGAATATACTGTATCTATATATAGGGTCATTCACATGAAGGGGCTTATTCGAGGTTCCATCATTATATCTATATAGAGCATCATTTTTCTTTAGCTTCCAGATGATACACGAACTGTTCTGTTTGGAGGCGCAGCGTGGTTCGTCCTTCCACCAGAGCATTTCATATATCAAACAGACCGATTCTATGACTTGAAACATCTTCCCATAACATTAAAACTTGAAATACACAAGGAAAGACTCAACGGACTACTGAACCACCTCATCACTTTCTGGAAAGTCGAAACCATCATCTGGATTCTTCCGGAAACGATGCACGGCAATTGGACCCAGAACAACAAGCATATTGAAACTTACGTTCAGCAAAGTCTGGAGGTGATTTCGAAGTACGGGGACAAGGTGATCGTTTGGTCCAGTTGGAGGATGTTTTTTGATCAGATGAAGAACACAGTAGGACTCGGAAGTATCATGAAAGATGATCTGCACGTGAAGGACGAATGCCAGCTCCACGGAATGCAGCCATTGCTGAATTTCCTGTGCAACCCAGTAGATGAAAAGCTTGACTCGGATTACTGCTGTCATGGATCCGATGCGTTCCTGAAAAAAAAAAAGAAAAATCTTTGACTTGAAGACAATGACAGTACTTGAAGTTTCACCTTCCTAGCGAAGTCAAGTTTGTTTTCATGGTGAAAATGATAAAATAAAGTCATTCGTTGTTCGAAATTGGATCAGCCATTCAATTCTTCATGTCAAACGTCTCAGCTTCCTTGGAAGAGGAGAAGAAAAATTCAGATCATTCCCCACCGAGTTGCACAGAAGAACTGCAAGTGTCATGGAAAATTTCTTTGGACAAAACACTTTTCTTTCAATAATAAAACAATTCTGACTCCGAAGGGTTAAAAACGTCCGCAGCGTTGAAAACCAAAAGATAATTCTAAGATAAATCAAATAATAATATAAGCGTTGAACTGGAGAATTCTCAACGGCGGGAAAAATAATTAAACTGCAGGCTTCTGTTCTTTCGGAAAAATGTCAGTCACAGAAATCCTCGCCTTGGCTGAGATATTGCTGCAGGACTTAAACACACCTTAATATCCTCTTACGCTTCTTCCATCATCTACACAACAGAATTAAAAAAAAAAAGTCATCAACTACACAGCAAAAGTTACATTCAAAACAACAACCAGATTTAAAAAAAAAGCCTTTATCTTATGCTTGAACACGGTGTGGCAGGCAGGGCATACTCTTTGGACTCGGCAATCGCAGCCATCAGCCATGTCTTCACTTGGATGAGGTAAGAAATCCACTGCAGTTAGCTGGTCCGCGGATGAACGTATCTGAGGTGGCCAGTTCGAGGCCAGATTCGAGTCCGCGCCACTTGGTGGCGTGCTGGAGCAAAAACTCGGACCCTATGTTGAGGGACGAGTCAATCAACTTGTCCACATTGTTGGTCATGGCCCTGGCCGGGGTCTGATGAACCTGCACCCTGTCCTTCCACCGCAAGTCCGTGGCCATGAGTATATACAGTCCTCATCTGAACGTGTTCACTTGTTCTATCTGCGAAGTGAGGATATATACAGTTCAACCTTTCTAGGTGACGTTTTTTTTTCGAGATGGGGGGGGGGGAGTAAGTATTTGTCAGAAGCGACATCTACCATACTAGCCAAGAACTACAGACCAGCTGTCCACAATCCTACCCAGATCACAGCAGTGGAACTGGATGGAGATGGGAAGTGGAGAGGTAAATTAGAGGCATCATTTTACATCATTCCAGTCTGGACCTTTGAAGCATTAACTTCTTCTCCTGACTTTTAACTGTGTGACGCAACCTTGATGTTAGATGTTGTCAATGTGAAGTAATCGTCGGTGACAAGAAATGTTGTGTACATTGTGTTTGAGGAGACCTGAACTCTACAATCCTTTATTGTTCTGGCGAAATGGGGCCTCACCGAATGCTTAGAGGGGTACTTTACAGAGGGTGCCAATATACAAATTTTTGTGATACAGTACATATACATTGTCTGGACTATTTCATGAAGTGTTATGGAAGAAAGGTTACAATCTATAACACCCATCCGTATACAAGTCAAATATTTTCTGAATTCAGTTCCGCCGTGTTTCATGTGCTTTTTTTTTCGTCTCCCCCAGCAAATCTGCAGGTTACTAATTTTCGACCTTCAGGAAAGGCTGTACAAACAGGTGAAACATTTCTTCTTCCCCGATTTCAAAGAGATATCACCTTGTTTCAGGGTCTTGACGTGAATGGCATGTGTGTTTCGTCCTGAAGTTAAAGTTGTGGCTAGAAGTTGGTCGAAGTAATTTCCTTCGGATACAACTCTGATTCCTGAAACACGTCCTACCTTATAGATGAAATCCTTCACAGAATTATCTTTCCCCTGGATTTTTGAATAATGCGTTGAAGTCGTGTTTTTGTGTCCGCGTGCCTCAAGAAAATAATGTGATGTTGACTGACGCGTGTTCCTTGTCGGAAGAAACCGCCACCACACTGTGCAACGCCGTTCTGGAACAAGAGCTCCTGAATCTTGGCAAACCTGCTGCTGATGGACCGTTGCATTTTGAAGAAGATTGGCAATTGAGCCAGTTCTGGTACTCGGACAAAACAGCAGAATTATTGGCCAAAGCCATTGTTCAACTGTCTGGCGACTCAGGCAAAATTGCCTGTCTGTCGTGTCCGACATTATTTCGAGAGCTTGTGTCACTGAAGTGTCATTCCAACGCTGTGTTGTTCGAATTTGATGAACGTTTTAGTGCTTTCCCGAATTTCCATTTCTATGACTACCGAGATCTTCTGGCATTGCCGAGCGTGTTTCAAGCATCTTTCGATATAGTTGTTGCCGATCCCCCGTTCTTAAGTGACGAATGCCTGACCCGGGTCGCTGAAGCAATTTCCTACATCTCAAAAAAGGGTGCCAAGGTGCTGCTGTGTACTGGCCACGTTATGGAGAAGACCGCAAAAGAGGTTTTGGGATTGCAAGAGCAGATCTTTCAGCCCAAGCACGCAAGGAATTTGGCGAATGATTTCAAGTGCTTCTCAAACTTTGACCTTGATGCATTATTGTTGTGATCTTTCGAGCGTTGTGTGTTGAATTTTCGTCAGTACATGATCAAATCGCTGAGTTTTGCTTACTCCGAGTTTTCATTTTCTGAATGGCAGTGATCAGCAACAATAATCACGCTTCTTTAGTACAGTATTTGACACGAAAGAATCTCGCAATGACATCACTTTCGAGGAACCCAATATATATGAATATTATGAGGCTTGATTAGCGCTTGATTCTGATTCCTGACAATGAGGATATGAATCAGCTGTGGCTGAAAAAAAAGAACATTGTGCTTCTGTTCAGACTGGGGATGTTCCGTGGCTGTGAAGTTCTGGAATTTTTTTTTTTTTCGAAGAGGCTACAGCAGTGGAAGGCCCAGCTTAGATTTGGGTAACAAAAATCAACCCTTCTAAACATATTTACTTGAAACCCTGAAAGCGTTTCAAAAATGCTCTGCTGATAAAGTTTTTAGTATGGGATCGAAGTCAGGAACAATGCGTTAATTTCCTACATTTGTCTCCTTGATTTATAACAAAGTGAAAATTCGGTATTATTCTACCGTTCATTATCTATATGTACCATGAAATAGTGGATACTAGAATGTGAGAAGAACATTAGTCGCAAAGTGACTCGAATACCCAGCCTTCTGATCTGGAGTAGGACGGGCTATCATTGTGCCATGGGGCCTTCATTTACAGGAGACTTATTTTGCTAAAATAGAACAATTTTCTCTTTCCGTCAGAGAACAGTATGTGTTTCATGGCTGCCTTTACCTATCTGCGAACAAGATTTCTATATGTACTACGGTACCTCTTCTCTACACGGTACATACTGTGTATGAATGTCACGAAATAACAAAAAACCTTATGTAAACATACAATACCCTCGATATACTGTATTTCTGGCACTCAGCGGACCTCCAATGAGGGAGAATGATTCCACAGACGGCAATTGAACATATCCAACAGAAGCTTGGGGGAAGAAGCAGGTCTGCGTGTATGTTGAAGCTTCAGTGACGAAGGATGACAATTAACGTTAAATATTGGCCCCGCTGCGGGGTTACTGCAGGAACAACACTTGGTGTCAGGAAAAACAGGTGGATGCTTCCTGCTATTCATTGATTACTGCTGTGAAGGGATAAGAAAGTCAGAGCATTTTATCAGCTAGATGGAGACAACAGTAAGACATGGCTGTTCTTGGTTACCTCAGAAAGGGTTAGGCTGGATAATTCCCTGTGTGGAACTACACCTCCATTTTCAACTCACCGCTGCTCACATCCACGCCTCTCTCCTAAACGGCCTATTCACTTCCAACTCCCTCTCCGGTTGGAATCAATGAGTGACTTCACGGATAGCTCCTTTTTATTATTATGAGGAACATCCTATTGTTGGAACACAATACTGTACCATTGGTAGACTCTGTCTGCAATGGATTTCAAGAGGCCAGAAAATATTGAGATAATCTTATTGTGGGGAATCCTTGTAAAAAGGAAAGAGAACCCTATGCCTATGGTACTACAACAAATTGGCAATCTAGAGGAAATTTTGTTTTGCGGACAAGATCATTGTAGAGAGAGTCCACCTGTACTTGAAAACCTTGCTTACCCAAATATGACCTAACCTTAACTGTGGGATTTATTTGAAAATCGTGTTCTTACAATATGCGTCGTGTTATTTTATCCTGGAAGTCTCCCCTGAATCGATGCCGCTAAATGATTGTAGTGAAGTTACTCACTGAATCCACCGTTGGTTCTGAGAGGGAGTGGTGCTGGCTGGGATGGCGTGGAAAAAGAAGCTCTGAGTGTCAGTGCTCCGAAAGAGGGCGGTAAGGCATGATTTACCCAAGATACACAGTGTGCAGCAGCCAATGGAGGATGAGATGGGCCGCGCGGAGTTACGTAATCCTGGTTTGGTCACAGGATATGTTCCCGGAATACTCCAGAAACGATTCCAGGCCATACTCCGTATGCCCACTGCGCACGCTACACTACGATATTGTGCTCAGCGTTCGAAGCTTGGATTGATTTTTGGAAAATGGAAGTGCTGAAAGAAGTGAAAAATTTACCTTGTAATAGTATTATGCAACGAAAGCACAAGTCCCGTCCCGTCCGGAATTTTCGCTAGAACCAGTCTTCTGGGTTACGGGGAGTTAGGAGCCGTCGAAGAACCCGTGCGTGAAACTGGATCGAATGTGCTGCATCGGTGAACCGATGGAATTTTCCATATGCGAAGTGACGACGCTAGTTGGCAATTGATTTGGTTTTTTAAGTGAAGTGAAATAGCCGCGTTTCATTGATTTTATATTCGCGTACATGCGGCGCTTATACCTGACGAAATTATGCCTTTTTTTCGAGATGAATATCTTCGAATCGTGTTGGGGCGCGCTTCGATACTGAATACTGTTCAGTAATCTTTCTGAGTTAGAATCCAAATTCTAAAGGCCAGTTGCAGTGCTTTCGTCTTTATTCATGGCGTAAGCCTGTATTCTGGATTTAACCTTGTGAATGTTTCTTGGAGTTTTTCTCCGTAGAAATGATTACGTAAAAGCAATTCTATTCGTATTCTTACTGTATTCCTTGATCGCTCTCAGTGTTGGTGAGTTTGTCGATGATTTTTCGGGTTTCAAATAAAATGCTCACAAGTTCCTAGCGGATCTTCGAATTGCGTTATTTTTGGAGGTTTTACTCGAAGAAAGTTAGGATGGGTCTGAAAGTGTGTGATTTTTTGTCGCTTTTTGTTCTGTTTGCTTTTACTTATGTTAATCTCTGGTTTCATTTCAGACCTGAGCAACGCTTCTATACTCGTTATAAACCTTTAGAGGCGTGCTGTCACTTCCTTCATTTGTTTATTTGACATGTCTTGCTTTATGATTTAGTTCTGCGGGTGAAATGCATACTCGAATGTATGTCATGAATGTGTGTATCAGCTCTGGATTTAAGCATTTTGCAAGCTCTCTCAATTTTCGCGTGATGAATTCTTTATGAAAGCTGTCCATCTGTGTGTCGCTGGGAAGTGTGAGACATGGGGACAGCTATTGTCGATCGGTGAATGATTTTTTCCTGGAACTGTTGGGTGGTGTTCTGCTGAATGCATCGGGACAAGGTGAAATGGTGAGTTGTTCAGTTACCTGTGTGTTACGAAATATCTTCAAAAGTTGGATTTGTGTCTATTACGCATAGATGTGAAAGTTTCATTGATGCCACGTAAATTTCACTGCGCCTGTGAACGTATCAGTGAATAACCTCAGTGGGACCTGCAATCGTGACAATGTTCCTTCGCGTATCAGTTCATTGCCTATCACAAAACCTATCTTTTCGTTTTATCTGTGGCTTTGAACTTTCCGGAAATCTCCGCCCCAGAAAAGGCACAATGTATTTGTAATCTTTGATATGGAAACAGTTGAGTACTTCCTGGTTTTGATTTCATTCGATATTTTCCGGGAAGATGGAGTTCCTTCCTCTTTATTAGTCTTTCCGGATCCGCGTCTTTGGGATTTCCGTGGGCTTTTAGCTTGAGAGAGCTGTTCTGGATTACATTTCAACGTTGGCTTTCAAAAAAGCAGAGCCTTGTTGAAATATGACCCGAATTGTCGGGGCTTTCATCGGAACGCTGTGACAGATGACTTTTTTAAAACTTTCGTACCTGGTAACTTGATGGGTTTTTTTCTGGCGCTGATTGTACACATTGGCTGCAATGTGAAGTGATCCGGCGGTATTTTCGAGTTTGGGAAGTGTTTCAATACATTTTCTTGGTGTGTTAATTTTTTTGAACTCTGCGACAGTGTTAGGTTATGCTGCTACAGTGTTAGGTTATGTGTCATATTTGGATCAGCTCCGCAACGACGAAATTCATTTTCTGACCATGCGTCTCTGGGGTAATGATGCTGAGTGAGTTTCCACAGCGTCGTTATCTGTAGTTCTTCTGGAAGATGAGTGTCTTCTGGGGCGTTTGAATTGAAGTGCGTCTTTGTTTTTCCAGTGTTGGAGAGATGAGTGACGTGGACCCTGACCAAGAAAGAGCCTTGTCGAGGCCCCGGAACGACAAGAGCATCGGCGACCATTTGCATTTCCTCGCGCGCTCCGGCGTCAGCGCACTCACAGAAGAAACCCTGGACTCCTTCCTGGACCTCATCAATCAACTAGTGGGTTCTTCGGGCCCAGTAGCACCAGTCGTCGTTGCCAAAGGGAAGCCCAAGCACACGGAACGGGTGTCGTTGTGTTGTACTGTTTGTCGCGGAGTGTTACTCGGTGCCACGGTGTTGTCTTGCGGGAATGCGTATTGTCAAAGATGCGTGAAACGGGCTGTCGGTGTTGGAGGAGAGTCGGATGTCTTGCAGACGGGTGTCGCAGTGACCGTGATGGCAATGGTGGAGAAGCTTTGGGCGCGGGATTTGCAATCCGCCAAACTGCGCAACGAGGGCAACCGGTTCTGCGAACAACGCAAGTACGCCGAAGCGTTGGAGTGTTACCGGAAAGCCGAAAACCTGAGTGAGTGTTTTTTCATTATCTTACCCTCCGAATTCTCAAGGTATGGGTGCAACTCCGACCCGTGTTACGAACTTCATCGTTTTTTTTTTTCGAAACATTCTCCCCAAAAAAGAAAAAAAAGGAAATTCAGCGTGGGACGGGAACTCAAGAGAGTGTCGAAATTTAAAAAATTCGAAATCAATATTTGGAACAGTGAAATCCCTTCATAAAAAATTTAATAAGAATTTCAGGGAATTGTTATTGGTTATGTAATAGAATGGATGACGGGTGGTTGAAGTTTTAGGCAAGGGTTCGTCTACCAAATGAGTCTTTCTCCCTTTCAAAACACGTCAAGTTACATTTTTATTTATAGAATCTATGTTTTGAATATGCAGTAGAATCTCTTATGCAACGAGTCTCAGAATGTATTGTTCTTCAGAAAGGGATTATATAACAAATTTGTTTTCGTGTTCACTAGCCGCAATGTTTTTTGAATATATGTGTGACAAATTGTCTTTGTTTCAAGAAGATATTACTGTATTCTCCGTGTATAATTGTAATCAGAAAAATTTTCTGTTTGCTACTGGGATAAATATATATACGTTCTAGTACCTAATTAGCCTTTCGTCTCCTTTTGAAGCATATCGTTGAATTTTGCATGGATTTTATGTTTTCCGTGTCTATAATAGCTAAACGGAGGTTTGAGGGGGGAACATTCTTCAATCAAGGGAGAATATTAGTGTATTGATTCTAAGGGAATTGAAACATGGACTCGGAAAATTTTGTAAAAAAGGGAGTTGATGGACTCGAGGAGGTTCGAATTATTGAGGTTCAAATGCACTGTATTGACTTTTAAAAATCTTTTTTTTTTCGGTTTGTCACTCTAGTTCGAGATCATCGACAAGCTATACCGAGTCCTGAAACCGACGTTGATGGTGATGCAGATCAATGCGTGTCACGTCCTGACGTCGCAGTGTTGAATGCTGTCGACCTCGGGGCGTGTTTGTCCAATATTTCTCTGGTTTTGAATCATCTGAAGCAACCGGAGGATGCCATGAAAAAGGCGAAGGAAGCTGTTGCACTTCGACCTTCTTGGTCAAAGGTGGGAGAATATTTTATTTATATGAAGAAAAAAAAAATTCTGAAATTCGCCCTACTTCACTCGCTTGCGTGCACTGCGTATGTAGGTAGGTAGGTGTTGCGGGTTGATGATAGGTGTCGCTGCTGCATTGCATTGAATTTTCAACACCTGATTGCGGACGGATACAAAAAATGTTCCAATGTTGTGAAACACATTTTTCTTGGAATGTTTGTCAATTTATCGGGACGCAAATAGTTTTGGATCTCGTCTAAGATGTTGAGCCTGCATATATATATTTTTTAAATTTATTTGGGATAGAATTAATTAAAATATATTCAGCTTTATGGGCCACTGGTGTATATGACCAACTGCATATTAGTAAAAACGATTTAATTAAATGGTGATTATGTGTGATTTATTCTTTTCTTCATTTTCCAGGCGCGATTTCGACTCGCGTCAGCCTACATGCATTTGGAAATGTGGGAACACGCCTTGCAGGCTCTGTTGCTGGTTGGTGTTTTGGAACAGTGTGTGACGAGACTCCGAGGCGAATTCAAAACTGTAAGCGAAATTTAAAACAAAATTTCTGCGTTTCAACCCGGATGTGTAAATGTTTTCGTTACAAAAAAAATGAAGGTGCTCCGGCAGCTCTTGACGGCGGAAGCAGCTGTGAATGAAAGTCGAAGGCATTCAGAGGACTCGAATAAGTCGCAGCTTGACACCAAGTGTGTTGATCACGAGGAAAATTCAAAAGTTAGTGAGTGTCTATTTTTTGATTCCCGGTTTTGAAAATGACCTTGTGTTCTTTTTTATTTTGTGCACAGTTGCGACCAGCAGCGAAGCAGCGACAGGAGAGCAGTATTCAGTTTCTCTGGGACGGGTGTTTGCGTGAAATGAATTGGTTGAAAGGTATCCACTGCTTTTCTATAATTTGGGTGAAGGAGAAATAATTTGGTGTTCATGAAATCTATGCTGGAAAATTTAAATTCCGCCATTTTCATCAACAGCCGCCTCATCCTAATTCACTGCCGCCACTTGGGTTGAGAACGTTGGCGGCTGCTGATGAAAATGGCGGAATGCATAATAAAGTAACGGCGGCTACACGTGAAATTATTGCTGTGTCAATTTCAATAATTCTGAAGGGAAAACTGGGTTACTCCAAAATATCTGCGAGATGGGCGCCTCATCTTTTGACTGAAGAGCAGAAAGCTGCCTGACTTCTTCGAACAGTTGGAAAAAAATTGTAAAATATGGCTTCATTTGTTTTCTTGCACCCAAGAGTGTTTTCTTGTAAAAAAAATTTGTTTTTCAGCTCAATCGTGTGCTGTTTCGAGAAAATTTTGGTGGACCTTTCGTGTATAAGTTTTTCAGGAAGTCCACTTGGTTTTTTTGTTGCAACCAACCCAGTACTGTATTATACTTTTTCTCTTTTTTAATTGTCACATTCCATTTCCCGATCTTAGATTCGATGGATGCCATGAATGAATCGGAAGGCAACTACTTCCTCTTGCAGTCGGGCACATTTCCGAAAGGCAGCCAACCGCAGGAAACGATCCTGGGTTTAAAGGTCGACTCTGGGAGTATTTCTTCCTCTCTCGCAGACCCGGAACAAGACGGTCCCTTGGACTTGACTGACGTGGAGTGTCCTCTATGTCTGCGGATCTTTTGGGAGCCGGTGACGACATCTTGCGGACACACTTTCTGTCAGTCGTGTTTGTACCGAGCCCTGGACACGTCGGTTGCCTGTCCACTCTGCAAGAGTTCCCTCACACAGGTTAACGAGTTACTTGTGTGTTTTTTTGTTGGTTGATGTTGTTGTGGGAATTTGAGGCCTGGTGCTTCCTAGTTGGATTTCTTGTCAGCACCCTTTTTTGAGGGAGAATTTCCCGAGTAACCTATGGAAACATTTTTGATTGGTTTCATAGGAAACAATTATGACGGTGGGATGAAGAAAATAGGATCAAAAAATGCAAAAGCGGAGAGGACTACAACGAAAATATTATTTATCAGAGTTGGAATCACCTCTTCAATGATATTGTCAACAATTTTCTCTGTATAATTAATTTATTTGGTCCCTAATGTTCTCTCCCCATGTAATATAGAGCAGTGTTCCCAACCTGTGGTTTGCAGATGGGCACTGATCCATACAAGTTTTTTTGCAAGCCTGCAGGAAATTTTCTTCAGCTTGATGTATTTATCAGAAGTAGCAATAAAGTCTTTTCTTGATGTTAAATTTTGGAAAGACAATGGCAGTTGAAATTATCTGATGGAAAATGAAAGTTGGCTTTTCTACTACTAACACTACACATTTTCACCTGCTGAAAGAAGTTATTTCAATTTTTCATTCTGAAAAACTTTTCTTCAAGCCCATTTCCCCAATTTTTCAAATACATTCCAATACATCATAGCTGTTTTCATTAGTTCTTGATTTAATTTTTGCAAAAAAGCAGTAACTTTTTAATACCTGTCATAAAGTCTTCCAACCAAAACCTTATGAGTCTGCAACAATTTTATGAAACTCTGCCAGTCTGCAGAAATTTTTTTGAAATTTGGCAGTCCGCAAACAATGTTATGGAAAGTTGCTGGTTCATGGGCCCATAAAAGGTTGAGGAACACTGTTATAGAGGGTTCCTCTGGAATGCTTTTTTTTTGGTCCCTTGAATTTTTTTTATAGAGACTGTCCACCTGTTCAGCATTAAGTTTTAATTTTAAATTTAAACTCTCTTTTTGTGCTTTTGAATATTTTCATGAGGTCATGTCAGATACCTGAAAGATCTACCGCAATCTTCCCCCAAAAAATGGAGTTCTTGCGAATCAAAAGAAAAGAATTTAGTTGAAGAAACTGATTTCATGTATTTTTGTGTATCACAGTCATATTTCAATTTAGTACCAGAAATTTCCCTTCATCCGGTGAAACGCAAATTATTGTGGGAATTTTTCCCACTTCTGATTTTTAAAAATTATTAACAGACATTAGAAAATGAAAATTTGTTTGTCCCGTAGTTTTCTCTCTCTTTTGAAATGGCTGGCGGCCACGGAGCATTTTAAGAGGTGATGTGGATGTAGGACGATTTCAAATACTGTACATCATTCACTGTCCTGTTTCATTTTAGATGAATTGCCAAAAATTAATTGAAAGAAAGCCTCGCCAAATGATGGCGTCTTGTCTAGGTTTGAAAGCATTTCTACGGCACCTAATTTTTCTCCTTGTCGGGATTTATTTCCAACTAGGAAGAAACCAGAAACCTGATGGGTGGGGATGAGTCAGACTCAACGAAGTGTTGATTCTTTCCTTCTTTCTTCAATCCTTTCTTTTGTAAACGCAGTGAAACTCCGGACGACCGGTTTAAAAAAATATCTAGTTCGAGAGTTTTTGAGTTATGTAACGAGAAAAGAAATCGCCAGAGATTGTGATTGGTGATGGGCCTTGAATTACCTTTTGGTCGAGTTCACAGAATGCTGAACTTACTTGCAGGGGTCCATTTGTCCAATTGGAAACACTTCTTTTGTCCACTTCTTTTCAAAAAGCCTAAAAATTAGATTTTTATTGCTTTTGTCTTTCTGGTGACCATGAAAATAATGGCAAAAAGGCTTACAGAAATTTCGAGTTTTGAGGGGAAAGGTTTGAGTTGAGGATGTTTTCAATGCCTTGTTCCTAAGGGGATTCAGGCAGGGTCTTGAAAATAGTTTGACGTCGGGAGGTTCGAGTTATCAAGGTTCAAATATGCCATTTTGTATAGGGTTTCTCTGCAGCGAAATTCTCTCAGCGAATTTCTTTTTTCTGGTCACTTGTATTTCGAAATTATTGGAAGGTAGGATTAATTTTTTGATGTGGTGAAAAATTGCTGAGCAGTATCATCCGTTGAGCAGAGAAGAATGTACAGTATTACAGTAAGCAATTTAAAGCATTTTCTGATGAACACAGAAATAGAACACAATTACTGTTGGACGATAAATTTTCCCGTGCTGCAATTCTATAAAAATACCGTATTTTCTCTGATGAACAGGCCTCATCTCTAATGAAGATTGGATGTCAGAAAAGCTCGAAGCAATTAAAATCCAGTCTCAAAGAAAGAGGTGGGGATTCAGAGATTTCTGAGAATTATCTTCATCCACAAAAAACCCCTTGAACCTTTGTATTCAACGCTGAAGGAAGAAACCCTATCCCCATTGTTGATTTTTGAAGTGTATTCCTCTCTGATTTTCCGGGAAAAAGTTGCGATCAAAGGGTTTTTCGTATTTTTAACCTGGGGTTTATCCCGTTTTTTTTTTCTCTTTTTAGACAGCCTTGACTGTTATGAATAAATGCTGGAGATAAGTTTAATATTTTAAATAAATGCGGGGGTCGTTTATTAAAGATTACAGTGAGACCTCTGCATGCAGACAATTCAACATAGGGACACTTATTTTCCTTTGAAAAATTAATAAAAAAAAGGCCCAACATGAGGACACTGACTCAAGATAGGGACATTTTGTTATAAAATTGAAAATAAATTTCAGGCAAAATTACAAGAAGCAGATATTTCCAACTCTAAAATTGATGTAAGAAAATTTCTTGGGCATTTCTCTCACCAATTTACCATTCATTTAGCTAATTAAAAAAATTACCTCCAGCACAGAGGGACTTCCTTTTTCTTTTTCACTTGAATTTTATTTTTTACAGAGAATGCCAAAATTTCTATGTACTGTACAGTATTCAATTCCCCAAATGTCCACATTGTGTTGAAATATATTGATTGAATCAGTTTTAAATTGGGGGACAATTTATATTTTCATGCAATTATGGTGAGTACTTTGTGCATAAAACACCAATTAAAAATTATATGATGTAAGTCTATGGAAAAATGAGGCTCATCTTGGGGACATTTTGACTTAGAGACACTCCTGATGCACCAATTACATCTGCATCTTGGGGTCTAATCAAGAAATCAGTGAAAAGAAAAAATAATTCGAGTTGTACGTGCTGTGCAAATTGTTCCGTAACCGTAGTAACGATATGCTGTGAACGGTCTGTATATTTGTGTGTGTGTGTGTATTTGCCCTTTGCAGATCTTGGAGCGACAGTACAGTAATGTGACGACGAAGTTCGTGGAGATGGTTGCCCGTTGGTTTTTCCCCCGCGAGGTGGAGGAGCGGCGATTGGCGTACGTGACTCACTTGGGCTTGGTGACTGGGCAAGGGAACGAGTTCCGTTTGCCGTTGTTTGTGTGCGGTGTGGCCCTGCCGGGGCTACTGTGTCCCCTTCACGTGTATGAGCCGCGCTACCGGCTGCTCATTCGACGATGCATGGAGTCTGGTACGAGGCAATTTGGTCTGTGTGCTCCGAATCCGGCCGGTGGCAGCGGGTGTGTATCTGTTGTTGATGTTGTCGTGTGATTTTTTTTTTGTGAATTTTTTTTTTTTTTCAAGTTCACTTCTTTGATAATTCTGTGATTTTCATGATAAAAGAATGTATAAACCTTGAGTCAACCCTTAAGTGGACTTATATTTAGGTTTTTTCACCCATTGTGAATTTTGAATATAAATTTCGGTGACTTAAAAGAGTTAAAACTAAGAAGTGCATCTTAACGAGGTGATGGGATTTTTTTTTTCTTCGAAAATATCAGTCTGCAAAATGGTAAGTTTTGACCTTTTCAAGGGTCTGATTTTAATCAATGATGCGACCTATTTATTGAAGAAACGTACCAAAAAATTCCGTGGTTTGGGTGTCGGTTCTTGTTCTTCCCTTTTACTTTTTTTTGTGGGGTTTTCTTCACGTCAAGTCGATAAGTATTCTGACTTTTATCTGTCCAGAAATCGTTCAATCTTCTTTTCAAGATCGGGACTGAGTGTGTTTTTTTTTTCAAATCATTGATTTTAGACGTTGAAAGGAAGTATTTGGCGGATGTTCATCAATTTTGTGTAGCTATTTTCGAAAGTTACTTGGAACTTGGCTGGGTTCGACTAATTGTGTGATTTGAGTGTGAATATATTCGGGAACTACGCGCCAAAAAAGAAGAGGAAATATCCAAAGCTTTTCCTCGGAATTTCAGTTCGGAATTAGAATTCCTTTGTGTCGTAAACCCGCTTTACAAAAATGTATTTAAAAATAAAATATTTGAAAAAACTTCGATGCGAATAATTGTGATTAGGAAAAGCCAGTGGTCAAGCAATTCTTTATTTTTCTCCCTCTTTTGAGGTTTCGCTAAAAATACAATTTGCTGCATTCTTCTCGCGTTTATCGGATTCTGTCGGTTTTTTTTTTTCAATTAAATGAGTGAGTCAAAAATTTTATTTATTTTTTATTTAATATTGTCGGGCAGCCTTTTCAAGAATAATATTTTACAAAAATCCCTTTAGGTAATGTTAGGCTTCGTTAATTTCCAGAGGAAATTCCATGAGGGGCCTCGTCGTAGGAATTATTTTTTGAGAAGGGTTCTACGGATCAAAAGAGATTGATATCGTTAATCGTTTTCAATCCTAGAAATATCATTTTCATTGATTGGTTTGATTTGAATGAAAAGCGAGAAATGTGCAAATCGCTGGTTGTGGTGTTTAAAAACCGATTATCCGCCTATTTTTCCGCCTAGATTCTCTGATTTTGGAACTGTGATGGAAATCCGAGACGTGCACTATTTCCCCGACGGTCGAAGCATCGTCGAGACTATTGGATCTCGGAGATTTCGAGTTCTCAGCGCAGACATGGTTGACGGATACTACGTCGGAGACATAGAAACTGTTCAAGACGAAGTCCCGACGAAGGACTCACAAATTCAAGGTGATTTTGAGAAAGGGGCCATTGAATTCGAAGCTCTTCGGAGGGACCCGCGAAGAAAAAAAAAATATATTTTTGGTGAAGCAAGCATTTTTTTTTGTTGAAGGGAGAGAAAGAAGAATTGTGGGGTGTTTTAATTGGTGATATTCTGGGCCTTGAATTGCTTTTTAAATGAGTTGACAAAATGCTGAACTTTGACGAAAAGGTTCATTTGCTGGATTAGTTTTTAACTCTTCTCTCAAAACGCATCAATTCACTTTTTTTTCCTCTGTCAATTAAAATAACGGAAAAAAATATTCGAGTTGTGAAGGTTTGAGTCAAGGCGGGTTTTGATAAATTTTATTTGATGAAAAAAATCAGACAGGAGCTTGGGAAAAAATATTAAAATTGGGAGGTATTCGACTTACAGAGGTTCGAGTTATTGAGGTTCAACTGTGTAATCATTCGATTGACGAAATTTTATTTTATGATGTGTCGTCAACGCGAAATATGAAAAATGTTTTCCGAAGGGAAATTTATAACAATTTTATTGCAAATTCGGAAACTGAAAAGAAACGTTTTGCGAAATGCGTGACACTTTGTATCCAAAGATTCCCCGAAAGTTTAAATTAACTTTTCAAACTTGTTTTCCAGAAAAAATGTGTTGATTTTCAAATGAGAATGTCTCTTTGTGAAAATGTCGGATCAGCAACGCTTTTAATCCAGACGTGCTCTCTTTTTTTGTTTGTTCTGAAATTGAACGATTTTTTTTGTGGATATGATACGTACAGTAATAATCTCGTTACAGTGAATATCGAAATTACGAAACATTGTTGGAAGGAGTTGATTTTACCACGTTTTTATGAACTCACTTTCTTGTCTGTCTGTTTGTCCAGATCAAATTTTGAACTCAAATTTCACTCACTTCCTGAAAAACGTGGTTTTTTAGATTAATTTTTTAATCTACTATAATTATTTTATTTTCCAGTGTAGCCGCGATGGTCTATTTACGGTTCATTTAACGAACAATTTGATTTCTGTCAAAGGTTCAAGGGTTTTTCTCGTGACGAAATTTTAATGTGTTTTTCAATGATGCGATTGGAGATTTTTATTGATGAGTGTTTTATTTATTTATTTTTTGGACTTGAAAAAAAAACAACCATGAAGCTATTCAAGGCATGCTGGACGTGACGAGGGACAAAGCCGTGAAGTGGTTCGAAGAGCATTTTCACGACAAGGCTGCGATTTACAGTGAAATCGGGCCGATGCCGAAACAGGAAAAGGACGCGTGGAAAACGCGAGATGGCCCTGCGTGGGTCTGGTGGCTCATTTGGATTCTGCCCATTCCTTTGTCCTTTAAGGTTTGGTGTTTTTTTTTTTTTTTTTTCTTCTGTTGTATTTTATTCAGTGTTCCCCAACCCCGTGGTCCAAGGGAAATTCTTTGGCATGATATACAGTGGGCCCCCATCTTACGTCATCAATCCGTTCCAGGATGGACGTCATAACATGGGGCCGTCATAAGTTGAAACCCTATTTCCCTTAAGGTTACATTATAAAAAAATTAATTTGTTCCAGAAAAAAANTTGATTTTGAGTCTGTTGAAGTTCTACAATTTTTGAATGGAGTGTTATTGCAAGGAGTAGGAAAAAATAATGTGGCAGGAATAATTCCTCCATTGCTACTGGCTTTTTTGGTGGTGTGGTTGGAAACAAGAGGAAGACTGGAGTGGGGAAAGTCAAAGGGCTTTTATAGTCGTAACATGAAACCCTGACGTAAGTGGGGGGGTTTTTTTTATTTAAGGAAAGCATCGTAAGATGAAACGGACGTAACATGGGCCCGTCGTAAGTCGGGGGCCCACTGTACTGTATATTGACTAGAGTAGCAATGAAGTCTGTTAGCTTTATCTGCAATTTTGGAAAGACGATGGCAGTTGAAATTATCTTATGGAAAAAAAAAGTTTGCTTTTCTCCTGAAAATGCTTCTGACAAAAGTTTTACCTGCTGAAACGAGTTATTTTAATTTTTAATTTCTGAGAAACATTTCTTTGTGCTCAAATTTTTATTTTTCATTCTGAGAAACGTTTCTTTATGCTCACTGTTCCAATTTTCTCAAGACATTCTACTGTGAAGCTGCTTTGTTGGTTTTTATTTTTTGCAAAAGAGCAGAAAAATTTTAGCGCATGCCATGAAGTCTTTCAATTCAAACTTCTTTGAGCCTGCAAAAATTGTATCAAACTTTGGCAGTAAGCAGAACATTTTTTTTAGATTTGCTGGCCTTTGAGCCCAAAAAATTTGGTCAACAGTTAATCCGTGGTTTCCCCAAATACCTGTATTTGTTTGTTCTAGTCCTTCTCTTGGTTCAGACCGGTCATGCGAAAATTTTCGAATTCTAAAACCCACACATTTTTGCAAGCAAAAGATGAATTAGGCAAATGCATTTTTGGGCGTCTTGAATTCGCATCAGGAAGAATGATGAGCTTTTGATTGTTGAGGAGGAGGTTAAAGAAAATCTGATAAAGTATTCGAAAAAACCTATAGTTCATGCTTTTTTCAGCGAGAAAAATTTTCGTTTAATACTGTTCTGTAAATTATATTAGCTTTTTTTCTGTACATTCCTGAGTATGTGTGACTAAAGGAAATTACTTAATTTCTTAATTTATTACTTAATTTCTGAAAAATTTCTCAATTTTTTCAGCGATAACAATTTTTGTTTTTTATACTGTTCTGTAAATTATATAAGCTTTTTTTCTGTAAATTCCTGAGTGTGTGTGACTAAAGGAAATTACTTAATTTATTACTTAATTTCTGAAAAAATTACTTAATTTTTTCTGCGAGAACAATTTTTGTTTTTTATAATGTTCTGTAAATTATATAAGCTTTTTTTTCTGTAAATTCCTGAGTGTGTGTGACGAAAAGGAATTATTTAATTTCTTTTTCTTTATCCTTGCAGCTGAGGTTCTTGACGATGGTGTCGCTTGAGAAGCGTCTGAGCGGAATTCAAGGAATCATAAGCGAGCCTTCGTGAAAAAAACGATTTCGTTTTTTTCCCCCTCTCCTCCCGCGAATTCTCCGGAGATAAATTTCAATGAAATTCGCTCGACCCCCGGCTGTGATTTCCTGCCCTCTGCGACCGACCGACCTCGTCAGCAGCGTCCAGAAGTGTTTTTTCTCGTGTCCAGATTCGCATCTCGCACTTGTGCACACAACAACCGTGTTCAGGGTTGTCGACGACGAGACTGTTTTTTTTTAGAGACAGAGAGAGAGAAAGATATTTCTTTTCTTTTTCCCTGCCTTTTTATTCTGTGCGTTTCGAGTGTGCGACTGGATTTTCTTTTTGATGCTTCTTGGAAATTTATTCCTCGAAATGGTTCCCGAGGGAAAAGGTGTTGGATTCAGTGTTTAGCTAACTTACTGAAGTTTTAGTGTGTGCGCTGAGACAATTTTGAAATTACTGTGTATGAGAATCTACTGTTGGGTGGCTCAGTGCGAGAGTCTCTGAAAACAGGAAATATTTTCAGATCCAGGTTCTTGGTAAATGATCACACTTGATTAGGAAGTCAACCGGTTGAAATTCAATGGCTTTTACCCACATTGAATAAACTGAAGAAAGGTTATTGTGATTTTACAAGTGCAGTGGTAAGTGAATCTTCTGGTGGCTAAAGTCTTTTAAGAGCATGAATAATTCCCGAAAATGTCTGCGCATGTTCTTGATAAATGAAAATTCACTTTTGATTAGTAGGGATACCCATTAACATTTGTTGGGTGTACTTGAGGTCATGCAGAAATGTTGTGAAATTATGTGAAAAATCTACTGATGGTGTCTCAGGGAAGGAGTCTTTGACCAAAATAATATCTTAGCAGATCTTCCCAGATTCTCAAAAAGTTAAATGATTGCAATTTTAGTAATTCAACCTGTTGAAATTCAGTGGCTTTTACTGACTTCAAAGAAAGTGCAGGCAGTTCAGTTTAATTTTACATGAATGGTGGCTCAGTGCGAGACTCTCTTGAAGAGATGATGAATTATAACATATTTCTGCAGAGAGGTTCTTGGAAGATTTGGATGAAGTAAGATTTCCCACTAATACTTGATGGTTGTACTTGAGGCCATGTAACAAAATTTTGGAATTTCTGTGTACGAGAATCAATACTGATGGTGCCTTAGGGAAGGAGTCTCTGAAAAAAAGAATAATGCTGTTGAAAATCTCTCCAGATTTTCCAAGTAAAATTATCAATTAATTAGAAAATCATTCTGTTGAAATTTAATGGAGTTTCCTGATCTTGATTCAATTGCAGTGTGATTTTTACATGCATGGAAGTCTTCTGGTGACTCATTGATGGAGGATTAATTATAACAGTCATGCAGAAAAATTTTGAAATTGTATATAAAAATTTTCTGATGGTGCCTCAGGGTGAGAGTCTCTGAAAGACACAAAAGAATAATAGCACAGCAGATCTTCCCAGAGTTTTCAAGTGAATTTATCATACTCTCTTAGTCAACCTGTTAAAATTCATTGGTTTTTACTGATGTTAAAGAAAGTGCACTAAGTTCCATGTGATTTCACCTGCATGAGAACCGCAAAGCTAGAAGTTGTTTTACCTGCTGAGGTTCTTGGAAATTTAACATACAGTAAGTTTGCCCACTAACATTTGGTGGGTGTATTGATCTTCAAGTTTTTTGTAATTCTTTGAGCATTTTTTTTGGCAAATCAATGCCAGAGAAAATTAGTGGGAAGATGGTACTGAAAAATTCCTGGAGATTGAAAATCCTTTTATATTTTAGTCAGTCAACTCGCTAATGTTTGGTGGGTGTCCTGAGATCCGAAAAACGCGGAAGTTCAATTTTTGATGAGAATCTACGGGTGAATTTACTACAAGAACCTCTTTGAACATTACAATTAGTGCTATTTTATTTTCATTTTCTGACGCCTTTGCTGAAATGCGTGAACCTGTGATTTGTTGTAACTGCCCTGAATTGAAACCAGTTCTTACTGTCTCGAAATCCACTGATTGTGTGAGAGAGATTAATTTTAGCTTAGTCCGAAGAACGAACCACTTTTTTTTTAGACTTTTGAGGGAACTGATGTCTAGTTTCTCAGCATTCCGTACTTCTGTAGCGAACTTACTTAGATTTGTCAATTTTTTGGAGCTTCAGTTGGAAAAAAAACCTAGCTTTCAAAGTGAAAAAAAAACAGTGATCAGCATCCACCCGAGAAGGCTTTACTGTGCTGGGTTTGAGATAGATCCCTCTTTTTTATGTTTCCTGAAAAAAATGTAGATTTTCTGAATCCAAAGTTTTTTTTTTCTGACAGTTTTTGCAGCTGAACAGGTTGGAAAAAAATGTGCTCTCGCAGTGAACGAATTTAAATATTCCGGGTCGACCCTAGTTTGCGCTGAAAAGAAATTTTCTGGTCAAGAGAACCCAATTGTTTTTTTTTTTCTTAAAAAAAATGATTTGCTGTGAATGTGATTTTTGAGGATACCTGTGGAAAAGAAAAAGGTTGCAAGTTGCTTTTGAGGTCGCGCAAAAGAATTTGGTCGATTATTTTTTTTTTGCACCTCAACAAGAAAGGAATCTTTCATTGTGTATACAGTATCATTTAAACGTGTACAACGTGTTGTAATTGACACGATGAAATGTTCAGATTTGTATCTAGAAAACCCCCCTCTTTTTTTTCGTTTGTTGTTGGTGGAATTTTGTTTTTGGTCAGTTGTGTGTTCAGCAAGAATTTTATTTTATTTTTTTTTTCGAGAACCCGTCTTTCCACGAATGAACCAGTTGTCAGCTCTCAAAAACGGTTGTTGAGTTTCCCGAGACTTGAACAGCTTTTGAAAACCTTTTTTAATTGAAGGCAGTAAATAATGTGTGTATTGTTCCTGGTATCGTGTCAGAACGTGTATAAGAAAGTTATCTTATACTCATTCGGAGAATGAGAACGTATGTACTTGTTTATTGAAACTCGATTGAAACAGTCCCAAGAAAATTCAAGGAGTACCTTTTTTTGTTGTCTTTGCCAAAAAAAAGAAAGAGTCACGTGCAGTTAGTCTGATGAGGTTAGCAAATCATGCTCCAATTTGCTTCAAACAAGAATTTGCACAGTTTTTTTGGCGTGTTTCTGAAATTTGTTTGAATAGTCGGATTGTGAGGACTCCCAATTATTTTTATTTTTTTGAGTGCCAACTTTCAGACAGACGGTGATGCAAATTTTTGTGACTTGGTTTTTTTTTTTTTTTGTGAAAAAGTGTGTGTGTATGTGTGCTGAAAGTCTTTTTTTTTTTGGTCCACACAACTGTTTCTGCGCAAAGATGGTTGTGTGTTTTGCTTGAGGAAATAAGTCAGTGTTGTACATTGTATACTGTGTATGTAATAAGCGTGTAAGAATTTCCATCTTTGAAAAAAGTTGGCATTTTGTTGTTGTTCTTCATGCATGAATGCTGAACAAGATGCATTCTCTAACAGGTAAAATTAATTTTTGAAGTGTGCTGTACAGTATTTACTTGAGTACCATGTGCGCCTTTTTCTTTAAATCAAAGAGGTTTACAATTTTTTCAAATTTTACAAGTTCAGGTTTGCAGGAAGCTTTGATTTGAATGACAAAAATGTGGGCTCATTTAAACAAGTGACTTGGAAAATGAAGCACTTGAGAATTAATTGAGGTGAATATTCAAATTCTGATGTGTTGAGATTTCAAAATATTGAAAGTTTTCATTCACTAAAAGACTGTGGTTGTGTTATTTGGGGATAAGTTTTTCTTGAAATTTTTGGCAGAAAAATCAAGGTTTGTGTCTTACTCAAGGGCAAGTGGTACTCAAGTGAATCAAGGTAGAATTTAATTCTGGGATGAATTACCATTGCGCACATTCCCTGCAACGTTTTGCAATTTAATTTGAAAATAACACAACTGAACAGGAAACTAAAGTTGAGTTGATTTTTTTTTGAAAATTATATTTTCTGCTGAATTATATTTTTTCGTTTTTGTTCTTATTTAGTCTAGTTTTGATACTGTAACTTGAGATGCTGTAAATTTTAAATTAATTCAGGGCTTGTTGCAGAGATACTTTTTTTCTGATTTTTGAAAAATTCAACAATTTGGCTATTGGTTTCTTTGCAAAAACCAAATCTTCAATTATGAATTAAGCATCCATTGTGGTTTTTGATCACTTGATTATTAATTGTTCTGATATCAGGGTTATGAGTATTTTTCAAATTGAACTTGGTCTACTTGCCATATAGCCTTTTTTTTGGGAAATAGGTTTTGATTATTTTTTGTTTGTTTTACTGTTCAAAAGAAGTAATTGAACGTTTATTTTAGGTAATTTGGGACGTGTTCCAATTATTGATTTTTTTTCCTGAATGTGCGTAGTTGAGAATGTGCGAGTGACTCATTTTGATTTCTCACTCTTTTGACCAATAGGCTGCCTTGTCTGTCAGCAGTTCAGGTGCTTGGGGTATTTGAAACACCAAGGAAGCCTTTTTTTTCGTGTGTGGCAAAAGTGATCCATTTGTGCGGAGAAAAAAAAAAACTCTCGTCCCGATGTGTACCGCTTTTTTGGATACTTTTGATTCGTATGTCGGGGTTGTTTCAAAAAGGTTATGAGTCCGATTTTCCATTTGAATCTTTCCCGGTGAAATAAAAAAAAAATATTGGTCAGATTATTGCCTTCTGAAGAATTTTATCTGAAATCTTATGATGATGAATATTTTTTCATTTTTTTCCAGGGAGCTGACAGAATTTATGTTGGCAAATAATTGTTTTTCTTGTCAGTAGAAAATATGAATACTGCTGCACAAGGCCTGGGTGAGTCCCTTTTTCAGTTCCAAATAAAATTTGTCAAATCTCTTCCACAATTTTGTAAAAATTCCGTCTTTTCATCAAATTTTTTGTCAAAAAAACTCAGCTTGGAAGGATTTTTTGAGAACAAGATGCACTACATAAGTTTTCAAAAGTATTTAGTGTCAGTGTGATCCCCAAGGTATCTTCAATCTTTCTGTATTTCTATACAATGTTAACTCTGCCTCAGCAGAAATTTGAAATGTTTAAAGTATGGGAATTTGCTCAAAGTCATTCCATTTTACCAACGAAGTTTTTAAATATTGCACATACTAATTTTACAAGTTAATTTGTTGTCAAAAGGCATCCTGGAACATTGTTTTATTGTATGTATTTTATATGTAGTTGGTGGGAAAAAATATGAATTTGTGTGTCATTGACAATTTTGCTAATTTATTCTGTGTATAGGAGCCTTTTTGCCAGAGGAAACCAAGCAGAAAATCATTGAGGCATTTCTGGTGTTTGATGAAGAGAATGTCAAGATGGTGGATGTGAGAGAAGTAGGTCCAATCATGAGATCACTAGGTATGTCATATTATGCTTCTGTATTTATTTAAATGCCAACTTGAGGGTCATGTTTTGATCAGATCAGTTCATTTGCAATTTGAATTGAGTTACTGTTGAAACTTTTCCAGATCTGTGTCCCACAGAAAGGGATGTAAGAGAGGTGGTGGAAGAAATGGATGATCCTCAGATTCCAGGTGGAATGATAAGTTTGGAAAGGTTCTTACCTGTCATGATTTCTGTGTTTTTGAATAACAGGTGAGTTCCATCAGAATTTTAATTCAAGTTTTCAAATCCTGTCTCAATTTTTTAAAAAGCATTTATAATATATCTCTAGGTTCAAAGCTCCTGAGAAAGATACTGTGATGGCAGCTTTTGAGGCATTGGATGTGGAAAAGAAGGGCTATTTGACAGCGGATGAGTTGACAAAATATGTAACTGCAAGTGGTGGTGAGCCTTTCTCTCAGCAAGACCTGGATGAATTGCTCACTGCTGCTGTGACAGTCAATCCTGATGGAAGCCAAGTTGTCAACTATGCTGAGTATTCAGATGCTCTGATAATTCAGCAGGACACCTGATGCTTTTTGATCTCATTTGGATAACAGTGTTCAAATTCAACAAAGTACTCTGTGTTCAATCTACTTTGTTCTATGTAACTTTGAGTGAAGTTCAGAGTTTTCAGACATGTGGTGATCATTGTGTTCAAATGGGTTCCTTGATTTTGGACATTGAAATGCAAAATGTTTTTTTCTGTTGCATCATCTCATTTTTCAACTAAATTTCCGTGTATATTTATTGATGATCTCTTGACAGAAAAGCTGCAGATGAAGTTTTTTTAATTTGCAGAGGAGATGTAAAGTAATGAACAGAAATTGGATGCAGGTGCAGATTCTCTGTCTGAGCCCATTTCTGCGGTGGCGCTATGTCTGTTAGATGTAGCTCTGGGTTATAAGTGATTTCTAGATCATCACACATGGCGGCCTCCTTAGCAGGTTGAGCGTCCTTTCCCCGTCAGCCTGGACGGTTCACCGAGGAAATGTGAGTGTTTCTGCGCAGTGCGTTCAAGAAACGAAGTGGTTTAAATTTACTACTTTGTTTTCCAGTTCTCGGGAAAATGGCTACCTGGTACACGGAAGAACCGCATTCCCGAATAATCCCGAGCCCACCGCAACGTGTTAATCGAAATCGCACACTCCACATCAACTTACGGAATCAGATTCTGGACCTGGCCTACGAGTCTCTAGCGGCTGAAGTTCGTGGCGTAGAAATGTGCAATAAAACCACGTTAGACTCGGCTATAGAGAACTACCTTTCAATCGTTCCTCATGAACGCCGATTCCAGTTCGCCACTTGCGTCGAAATCTTCCAGCGTGGGCTCCAAGTCACACCTTTCTTTCTGGATGCCTTCCAGCAAGCTTGGGAACACTTGGCCTTGTATGCTGCAAATTTCCTCATGTCCCCGTGGAGACCCGAATTCAAAACACTCCGGGTAAGCCGCAAAAGAGAACCCGAATGTCGTGAAGAAAAGATTGACTTCCAGACGTTTACATACATTCTGACCCACAGTTCTCCAAACAATGATTCCACGGAATATTTCTGATGTATCAATTTAAATAAGACAATGTTGGTTGAATTGAATGTATAAAATAACGGATTTGGACCTGTTTTCAGTTGTATACCGGGTTCTTTCGTCATTTCGTGGAGCCTGCATTACCTGAAAGCTACCGGGTTTTCGCTCTGATGGGCTATTCCATGGTTCTTGGTGAGAACAATCTGGTTTTACGGATCAACGGACCTCTGGATTTGGGAACGATCCTCAGTGTATATGTCGACTGTCTCATTGCTTCTTGTGAATGCCAGGTGAGCCGAAACTTAAGTGAAAAATGTCAAATTTCTTTCAGTCGAACATCAGCGATGCTATTCGAGTTATGGAGGTTTGAGGTGGAAAGCGTTTGAGTTTGGGAGGGCTGAGAAAAATTTGACTTACTGAGGTTCAACTGTATTTCCGTTTTGAACTTTTCCATGGATGTTCATTTGCACAAGTTTGTATCAGAATCGTGATGTACGTGTGTTTGATTCCTTCGATCTCAGGTCATGGCGGCAGTGTTGGAAAAGTTGCAAGATTCTCCAGCCACTCTCCAACACGTTATCCAAGCCCGAGAAAAATTCGCTGCCAACGTAGACCAAACCGCTGCAGCGATTCGCCAAGAGTTGCGAATGGAATCCCAGCTCAGATGCGAAGATTGTCTTGTTCCACGTCATCCTTTGCCTCCTCGTCGGAGAAACAGACGAGACAACCATCAACAACAACAACAACCTTTGTTGGTTCCCTCGGAAGAACCTCTGTGGAATAATGCGTATCTCCCGCGCAAAGACCCGGTCTGGACCTCACCTAAGCCCGTGTCCCCGAAAACCCGGGATTTGCATCCCTCGGGTGAAGAATCCGCAGAGTCTTGGAGTTACGTTTACGATGCACTGAAAAACACTTCTTCTGCGGATCCACCACGATCACCAGATCCGAAACCCGCGCTTCCCAAAAAGCAGAATAAGGACGTGAAGCTGAAGCCTCAAGCTAATAAGTGGTCGTGTAAAGCGTGTACTTATTTGAACCCCGAAAATGTGAAGATCTGCGGGATGTGCGCCAAGTCGAAAGACGTGTGCAGTGTTGATTTGAAGAGTGATGTCGAAGATTCTGCGAATGTCGAGTGCTCCAAGTGTACGTTTCTGAATGCGGAAAATGCGGCCAATTGCGCCATGTGTGGTGAAATGCTGGAAGTGTGAAGCTGACGAGTTACCAAAAATTGAAGCGAAGCTAGTTCATTCGGGTTCACCATGTTGATGCAAAGTTGCTCCGAAATCTAATTCACGAGAAGGATTTTAAAGTGCGTGTGTGTCTTGGAATCACTTGAAACATTGTAGAAAATGGTCCGAAGTGGAAATTTGCTTAGGTTTCGTTTTCTCTGCGTTGGTAATTTATTCAAATGTGAGATCCGCTCGTTTTGATTCACAATACATTCAAAGAATCAGTGTTTCCTCATTCCTGGATCACTTAAATCTCAGAGCATAGTCTTGTACTGCGTGAACCCGAATGAGCTCGGCTTCAAATCGACGCGTGCTAATCCCTCCGCAAATTTATATGTGATACAAGTTTATTTCTCTGCAAATCTAGTCGCTCACGGAACCACGGAATAAAAATTCAGCGCACCCCTCGAAATGTTCTGTGTGCACATTTTTTTAGCTTTGATTCGAATTTTAGTTCTTGTGGCCGAGAATAATCATGTTTTTCCTCGCAGGGAGTATTTTTTGCAACATTTCGTATTTTTCTATGGCCTTGTCTTCGGAGAAATCATGCGGGAACGATCTCAGGGAAGTTCGGATGTCATCGATGCCCTCAAGGTGAGTTTCAATGGAATATGTGAATGAATATTGGAAAGTTGATGTTTGTATGGTGATTTTTACAGGCTAGAGTGGCCAAAGTTGAGGAAGAACTTGAAGACGTGTGCAGAGAAAATGAGGGCTTGTCTCTGGAGCTGATACAGTGTCAAAGACGACTCTTTGATGCCAACAGAGAACTGCTGAGAATTCAGGATAATTCCGTGAATAATGATTTGTCTGGGGAAGTTGAGGAGCTGAGACAACAGGTCAAACAACTCAGGAAGGTGAGAATATTGGATTCATTTAGTGTTATAATTTTTTTATTTTCAATGCATCCAAAATTGATTCCTCTGAAAAGGTGAAAATTGTGAGTACTGTACTAGAAAAGTCTGCAAGCATTCATTTGTTGTAAGCATGGTGTCTGATATTTCCACTGGAACCTTCAAAACAATTTTCCTGTTCTGTACAGTATTGACCATTTTATTCATACAATAAAATCTTGCTACAGCAAACTCCCAGGGACCTGTGAACAAATTGTAATGAGATGCATGGATTTTAGAACATCTAGAACTGGGATTCTGAGGCAAACAAATAATTGTTTTACAGTGTTGTACTCATGAAGCACAGATTTTTGAAGAGTTTTCATCATTTCAAGTCTTTTTTTAATGGAATAATTGATATATTTTCAAGTACAGTCATGTTATTTTACACTTTCTCTTGCTTAAATGTCCATGAAAATTTACTGATCTTTCAGAAGTTAAACTGAAAAAAAATGCATGTATGAGCATTTACTTGATAACAATTACATATTTTCTAAAAGAAGCCTTGTTCTTTCAAACATACTGTCTAAAATTAGCCATATATAAATTCTAAATTAAAGGTAAATTATTTTTGGTGAGAGCATCATGCTTTGTGCTTACTACAGTGATGCTAAATGTTCTGTAAACAAAGATGAGACCTTTTTTTATTGATGGATTATTACTGATGCAAAAGTTAGATTTTCCCATTTTTATGCTAATTTTTAAAAGTTTTCTATGACTCATGTACGCATAATCAAGGCAATAATTTGTTGAACTGAGATGCTTGGTGCAAATTAGTTTATCTTGCAAATGAACAGCCCAGACAAGAAAAGTGAATTCCTTGTAACAGAAGTTTATTGTACTTGCAGGAGCGTGATGATGTTGCAGCTGTTTTATCCAAAGAACAAAATGACTCTGAAACCACAGAAAAACTAGCCCTGGTCAAGACCATGAAGGTTGAGCTCCTGAGGATGCAAGAAATGCTTCAAAGGAGGGACCATCAAATATCCTTTCTTTCCACCACCGCAATGTCACTCAGTTCCAAACTCTCTGAAAGCCTGAAAAGTTTGGAGTTTATGAAGAATGCGAATCAAAGGATGATGAAGAGGGAGAAAGAACTTGGTGGGAAGTTGAGTGCAGCAGATGTGAGAGTGAATGAAGCTGCTCAAACCATCAAATCCTTGTCCAATGACTTGCATGATGCCAGGACCAAAGCCAGGGAACTGGAGTTGAGGCTGAGAGATGCCATTGAAGTTGCCAACACTGCTATTCAGGAGAAGGATGTTGCTGAGGAGTCTGAGGAATCTGCAAGAAGTGGGTGGTTCTTATCTTTTTTTGTTGCTGTTGTCTTTGAAGTATTCAGCTATCAGATAGTTCACTTGTTGGAGGTAGCATTAACTCACTTTTTCCCCTGTGAAGCCATCTTGCTTTTGTGTAAAGTAAAATCTTGTTACACCGAAGTTTTGGAAGCCTCAGAAGATATTTTCAAAATTAATGACTGGAAAATATTTGCACATCAGACCTGCTTAATCTAATAATAAATTAGATCTTACTTTTCTGGCATTCTCAAATTTCTAATTATTGTTTAAAAATGTGAGTGATCTTCTGGAGAAGATTTAGCTTCAGTCATGCCTTCCTTTAGTTGCTCCTATCTCTTCATTCTGGGAGGATGTTGTGTTGAATCACTTGGAAGGATGTTCTTCATTGATTAAAGCTTCAGTCCATGTTACAAAAACCTGTCTGTTGCATTTGGGATTACAGTATAAATATCAGACTCTGTGTGTCTCAGTCAGGAAATTTCTACTGGGAGAATCTATCAAACATTTTTCCAGAAAAGTTTGTTGTAATGGAATTGAGAAAGTTTATTGTAATGACTAATGAGATTGTTTGAACCTGTAATCTATGGGCTTTCTGCTGGAGTTTGAGAAAAGTTTATGTTATACAGTACCAACATGTTTTTGTAATGAGATTTTACTGTGTTGCTTAAAGCTAACTTGGTCATTCTAAAAGTAAACTTATAATTCAATGACCTTGTTACCCTTAAAATGACATTTAAAAGGCCCTGAAAAATGTTGGAATTCCTTTTAAATTTTTCATTAGTCACTGTGCAGTGTCCATGTTGTGGTTTCCAGCTTTTCAAAATTTGTTTTTCTCTGCAACAGCCAGATGTGATGAGATTGTAACCAGCTTCAAGACCTTTGCTGAAGAAGCTATTGGAAATGCTCACCAGGAAATGGAGGAGTACAGGAAAAAGTACTGTGATGCAGTTGATGATCTTAGGCTGAAGCTGACTGAAGTACAAAAGGTGAGTTGGTTTCAAGTTTCTCTATTTTCAGTACTGCTTCATGCTCTCAAATCACACAGGAAAAGGAGCAGTTGAAACAAGAACTGCATCAGTTTGCTAAAACCAAGTCAGTGAGTCTGCAGACACCTCCTCAGTATCCTGAATTCTTGCAAGTGCAGCAAGAAAAGTGTCAGCTTGAAGATACCCTGAAAGATGTCAGGGATGACATGGAGTCTGCAAAGCGGAAGTGGGCCAGGCAAAGAGACCTGTTTGAAGAGAAACTGGGACATGTGGAGAAGGCGCTTATTGAGGCCAGGGCTGCCAACAGTGCAAAGCATGATGAAGTGGCCATGCTGAAGAAGGACCTGAGGGCTGCCAACAGTGCTGTTGCTGAATGTGAACTCAAGCAGAGGAATGTTGTGGAGGATCTGAGAAGAGCATTGGAGTGAGTTCACTTTCATTTAAATTTCATTTGCTCAGAAAATATTAACACTTCCTCCTCATGAACTAACATATGTGTAGAACTGAACTTCTTGGAAGTCATTAATTTCAAACTTTCCTCATTATTTAAAATGTGTTGACCAAATTTATTGCAATGAATTCCAAGTGTATCTCATTTAATTTTGAACAAGGCTTCAGCATGTTAATTTACAGGAAGATCTAATTATGAAAAAATACAGCAATTTGTTTTTCAGACCCAATAGCCACAATGTGTTCGGAATTTATGTGTAACCAAACTTTTGGTAAAATGAAGATTTTAAAGATATAATTTGGGAATACTGGCCTTTTTTGTGAGAATCATCAACTACAGTAAAACCTTGTCACACTGAAGTCATTGGGACATGGAGAAAAGCTTCCTATTACCAAAAGGATTGTTGTACAGAAATTTTAATGATAGTGTGGCTATTGAGCATAAAGCTGGTTGTATGTATTCATTTGTTACAGCAAATTTATTTATATTTACTCACTAAATATTCCTACAGGAATTTAATTATTACTGGTCCCGATGACTTAATTGGTGATCATTTCACTTGAATGACCAGTTATTCTGAGTGTTTTTAAACATCTTGTACAACACCACACAGATGTCGCTGCAACTAATTAATGTTGCGTATTTCTGATTTTAGAAAAGAGATATTGAGCGTGGATGAGGGGGAATGATGAAAATATATTTGATTCCGTTCGTTTGAAAATCTTCCTTCCATTTTCAGTAATCGAGAGGAAGTCATAGAGTTGTTGAAGCGAGAACACAGTGACAAGATGGCGGTGACTGAGAGTTCTTCTCTGCAATCCGTCGTGGACTTGAAAAAGATGCTGGTGGAGCAAAGACGTCTGACAGACAAGTAATTCTGCAAAATGGCACAAATGGTTGGATTGTGATTAATTCATACTTCTTGTTTGCAGATGGAAGGACGAGGCACAGTTGTTGTCAAAGAATTGTCAGGAGAGAATTAGTCAATTGAAGAAGGATATGAAAAAGTTGCGGGAGGAGAAGCATGAACTGTTGGCTCAGTTGAAGATGAAGGAGCTGGAGTTCAAATTCTTGTTGCACAATCACAGTCAATTGCAGAGACATGAGTCGATTTCCCCTTAAAGCCGTCATGACTCATGTATTTCAACTTTGAAATTTGTTTCAATGTAAAGGATGTGTTCAAGAATGTGAGCACATGAGCTTTATATCCTTGTACCTTATTTTCAATACATTTAGCAGCAAGAAAGGGAATTCAATCAATTTCCTTCAAAATCAAGTGTTTTAGAAATTAATTTTAAAATGTTCAAAATTTAATTACTTGAAGTGTATATTTTAATACAGTAGCTGAATGTCAATTTGAAGAAATTTTATACATTAGATTCAGGACAAATGCTCAATAACAAATTTGGACATAATTATATCCTAATAATGTTGTGGCTCTTGGACAAGGGCTTGAATATCAAATTTATTCTAGGCACTAATTTGTTACAATTAAACTTCAGTGTACTGAGAGTTGGCTCTGGTGTTAGTTATCAAGTGGTTTAACACATGTTCCAAATTCAAATTAATCAATGTGCCTTCAAGGTAATGAGAAAAAATTTAATAGGTCTTGTTGCACAATTTGAAATCAAGACCATTTGTTGAGAGAATTAGCACCAGAACCAACTGTCAGTGCAGTAAAATTTCATTGTAACAAGTCAATGCTGGAAATTGATATTCAAGTCCTTGTCCAACAGCCACCAAATTATCTGGATTGAATGAAAAATGTTGTCCACTTTTGTTCCAAGTTGAGATTTTGTCCTAAATTTACTGAGCAGAATTGCTTCAAATTGATGCTCAATTAGTAGAATTTATGCATACTGTAAGATTATCAACAACAAAAAACTCACCAAACGTAATAGTCATGAATTTCACCGGTGTCAGCAGGATTCAAAAACAGTATAAGTGTCAGCCATTGCTTCAGCTGTTTTTTGAAGGGATTCAATGTTCAGTTCTGGCACTGTGCTGTCCTCACTCAGAGTAGCTCTTGCACAAGCCTGAGCAAATGCTGCACAGTAATGCTGAGACTTGCCAGCCAACATGGCAGATATGAAGGCAGCTGCCAAACTGAAAAGATCCCAAAAAGCATGAATTATTTGACCATTATGTAAATATTTGAGAAAATGTCTACTCACCAGTCCCCTGCTCCAGATACACTGACAACTCTCTCCACAGCCTTGACAGGGTAGTGAGTGACAGACACAGGCCTGGCCACTGATTTGTCCACAGGCAGCAAGCTGTCCTCAGGCTGGCCCTTCCTCACCACCAGCAGGCCATCTGAACCCATGGTCACCAGCACTGCAGCCATGGGGCCATGATGCACAAGAGGCTTGCACAACTGCACCAAGCAGTCCACCTTCTTGACCACATCCAACTGACTAATGTCAGAAAACATGTTCAATTGTCTGTCATTCCATTTAACCCCACCTGTGTGAAAAACCAAGGTTTACTGCATTTAAGTACCATGTTCAGTTAGTTGTACACTTTTACAAGCAAACATTAAAAAATAATAAAAGCTGGTTGTTTCTCCTAACCATCTATAATATTCCTGGTGAAAATTATAATTTTTTCATGATTGTTGAATTTTGAGTGAAGGAAAATTCCTTGCAAAGGGGGTTTAAGATCATTGACTATACTGCACAGTGATGGCACAGAACTTCAAGGCAGAGAAATTCATGGAATATGCATACAATTTACAGTGATCTGTAAATTTGCACAACTTCCTACAATCCATCTTCCTTTTCATGAGCTTGCTCACACACAAAGACTTCATGCAGGTAGACTCTTTCTCCAACAATCTATACAACAAATAGTCCCACAAGGTTGTCTTCCCATGAATGGGTTCTCTACAGAAAATTTCTTCCCAAAACTCATTTTTTCCTGGTCACTTGAGTTTTCTTGTAGAAAGAGTCCACATTAGTAAGAGATGAAAATTTATTTTGTCTGCTGAAACTTTGGGTGCATGTCTAAAGCAAGGATTTTTGTAACTAACTTTTTCTACTACTAATGCGTGTTCTCAGCAAGGGCACATTGATGAATGCAATACAGGTGTATTCTCTCTTCAAGGAATCTTGTCTACAATGACTTTCTCTGTATAACAGCTTTTTTATGGTCTCATATACAGTCTTCTACCCATGTTAAAGAGGTCATCTAGGGGACATGTGAGATGGGACTGACCCTAAAAAAAATCTGGGGGGAAAAGTGGACTTCCTGGTATGCAGTGAAGACTTCATCAATTATTAAAAAAAATTGGAATGTCATTGATTAACACAAAAAAAAAGAAAAATACAGGCTTGAAAATTTCATCTTATATAACCCCCCCCCCCTCTTATAGGAATTATCCCAGGGATTTGACATGATTTTTCTTTCCTCAGAATATTTCCAGAATAAAAGTACAGTACTTTGCCTTATTTTCACTGGACCAGAAAACATTTTTGTAGAGAGTCCACCTTTATTTCACTAGAGTACTGAGAAAATACCTGATTGTGCAACAGCAAGCGACATCTGGACAAGCTCAGCAATATTTGGAGAAGCAAAGGTCAGACAGTGGAGCTTGTTCAGGAGAATTGGCCTCTGAGCCAAAGATGCAGTAGTTGGTTCAAAGAACACTGACAAAAAGATAAAAACAAATCATTGAATCCTGGAACAACCACAGACTAAATAAAATCCAACTGACTAATGTCAGAAAACATGTTCAATTGTCTGTCATTCCATTTAACCCCACCTGTGTGAAAAACCAAGGTTTACTGCATTTAAGTACCATGTTCAGTTAGTTGTACACTTTTACAAGCAATCATTAAAAAATAATAAAAGCTGGTTGTTTCTCCTAACCATCTATAATATTCCTGGTGAAAATTAAATTTTTTTGGTGAATGTCACACTTGAGTGAAGGAAAATTCCTTGCAAAGGGGTTTAAGATCATTGACTATACTGTACAGTGATGGCACAGAACTTCAAGGCAGAGAAATTCATGAAATATGCATAAAATTTACAGTGATCTGTAAATTTGCACAACTTCCTACAATCCATCTTCCTTTTCATGAGCAAAGACTTCATGCAGGTAGACTCTTTCTCCAACAATCTACACAACAAATAGTCCCACAAGGTTGTCTCCCTATGAATGGGTTCTCTACAGAAAATTTCTTCCTAAAACTCATTTTTTTCTGGTCACTTGAGTTTCCTTGTAGAAAGAGTCCACATTAGTAAGAGATGAAAATTTATTTTGTCTGCTGAAACTTTGGGTGCATGTCTAAAGCAAGGATTTTTGTAACTAACTTTTTGTACTATGTACTACTGTGTGTTCACAGCAAGGGCACATTGATGAATACTATGCAGGTGGACTCTCTCTTCAAGGAACCTTGTCTACAATGACTTTCTCTGTATAACACATTTTTGTATGGTCTCATATACAGTCTTCTACCCATGTTGAAGAGGTCATCTAGGGGACATGTGAGATGGGACTGACCCTAAAAAGAATCTGGGGGGAAAAGTGGACTTCCTGGTATGCAGTGAAGACTTCATCAATTATTCAAAAAAATTGGAATGTCATTGATTAACACAAAAAACATGAAAAATACAGGCTTGAAAATTTCATCTTATATAACCCCCCCCCCTCTTATAGGAATTACCCCAGGGATGTGACATGATTTTTCTTTCCTCAGAATGTTTCCAGAATACAAGTACAGTACTTTGCCTTTTCACTGGACCAGAAAACATTTTTGTAGAGAGTCCACCTTTATTTCACTAGAGTACTGAGAAAATACCTGATTGTGCAACAGCAAGCGACATCTGGACAAGCTCAGCAATATTTGGTGAAGCAAACGTCAGACAGTGGAGCTTGTTCAGGAGAATTGGCCTCTGAGCCAAAGATGCAGTAGTTGGTTCAAAGAACACTGACAAAAAGATAAAAACAAATCATTGAATCCTGGAACAACCACAGACTAAATAAATTCAATGAATAAATAAAAATATAAAAAAACTCACCTGGCACTTGTGCTTTTCCACAAATCTCCAACAAATAAGTCATGCTGTCATCAGGTATGTTTCCATCCATGAAAACCAGTGGAGCTTGTTCTATGGTGCTTTTGAACTTTTGCAACTGGAACCACAAATCAAGAACTACTTCTTAGTATTTCTAAATTTGAAAAAAAACCACCCTGTGTAATCTTACATGGTCCACTGACAGCTGATTCATGCAATCAATGTCCCCTGCTTCAAAATGGTGCTGTCCAAACTTGTCCAGCACAACTATGAAAGATGCAGTGGAACCACTTTCCACTTGCTTCACAGAATTCCCAGCCTTCAAAAACATTAGGACACATGCTTTTTTTATTTATTTGGTGCAAGAATTTGTATAAAGGTGGCCCAAATATAATTCAAGGGTCCAGTGATGATTAAATTACAGCCTTGGAAGTACATCCCATAACATATTTTAAGGTTGCATTGTCTTCCAAACCTTTTTCCTTGAAAAAAAAAACCAGAACAGCAAAGGAATTCCAGTAAAACTTCTGCATTTTCAAGAATTGGAGTAAAATTTTTGGGACAAGTAATTGCTAAATTCATGCATTTCAGAAAATGTTTATAATTTTTTTTTCAACATTGGGATAATACAGAGATATTTCTAATATTCAGAAGAAGTTGAATTTGAAATGTGATTGAATCTTCAAAAGATGCTTTAAAAAAAATTGGACTTTTTTGTAAGATATAAAAATATCCAAGACTTCATCAATTATTTAAAGAAAAAAACTGGACAGTCATTGGATGTACCAGTACAGTACTCAAAAAATTACAGGCTTCCAAATAGTCCCTGGAAGAACCTCCCCCTCAGCACAAAAATTACCCCAGGGATGTGAAATTACTTTTTTTTGTTTTCTTCTTCAGAGGATTTCCAGCAGGATACAAAAGTACTGCACCTTGCCAATGGTGCAGCTGAGGTCCTTGAGGACCTTCCTGCCAGTGATGTCCTCACCAACAGCAGCAATGAACACTGCTGGCACTCCCAACTCCCTCAGGCACTGTGCCACATTCCTCCCAACTCCTCCCACTGTCTGCTTCATCTCACTCCAATGAGTCCTGCCATCATCCTGCAACACACATTAGGGGAAACCTCTCATTGAAGTACAGTATTTAAAAAAAAAGCAAAAAGATCATTCTTAATCCCATTAATACACAGTATATATATTATGCATAAAATGTGCATAAAATATGCATTACTGTACATATATCCACAAATGCCCTCAGCAGAATTACAGCATACAGTTACATAATTTATATAATTCACAAAAAAGCATGTATTAGGCATAGACCTGTGTTCATGCATAGAAATGTGCTTTAAATATAAAAAAGTTTCAATTTACAAAAATATGTACTGTATCACATTCTGAGATACTGTACATACATAATGAATTACATGCATGAAAATATGCATAAATGTATGTCAGAAAATATTTAAAGTATACTGTACTGTAGGAAAATATGTGAAGTATTATGTAAGACAATATGTACTGTATTATGCAGGAAAATGTGCAATATGTTAAAATATGAATCCTGTTGGAAAATTTTATACATTATATGTTGAAAATGAAGTTTTTTGAAAATATGTACATAATTGAACAGGGAAAATGTGTTGAGTATACATGTGTAAATGTATTATAATCAAATACTGTAAGTATTAGTTCCATATAGAAATCCCCCATTGCACAAAAAACTTTTATAGATAAAATATACATTTTGTGCATAATGTTGTATGTATAATATTTTCTTTAAAATATTATGATACAAAACAGAAAAGATTTATGAAATATAAAAGAATCCTTTGAGTCAAGGTCACACCTTAGTTGATGCAAAAAATAAAAATGAAACTAGGAGGAGGGAAAGATAAATAAACACCTGGTGGGTTTGTGGCATAAATTTATAGTGTTTATAGTAGTACCATGTGAAACCAGGTTATTCTGGTATGGGGCAAAACCTTCTTGGTTTATTCAGGTGCAGGCTTTACCCACCCTTGGTGCTGTGTAGCACAAGTTGCTGTGTGGACAGATGGAGTGTCAACAGGCAATTTCCTCTGCTCTGGCTCAGTTGCCAAGTTCAAATTTAAACTAACTTCATTTACAACTCAGATAGTTATACAACCAAGCAAGGATTTGAGCACAAAAGGTGTTGGAAATTTTTGAAAAGTAAACATTTTACTTCAGTTTAAATTTTGAAAATTACTGTATATGAACTCATTTGGGTCAAAAATATTCAAGATGTTGGATCTTCAACAAATTAAGATGCCAAAATTGAAAAACAAAATTATTGACAGGTCAGCCCATGGATATTCAAAGTTTTTTTCATATATACAGTACCAAATATTCTGAAGTATTTATTTTTCAAAAATGTCTGCCAATTCATCCTATGAATTTACAGTCACTTTTTTTTCTCAAAATAATCTCCTAATCTCCAGTGATTTTTTTTGGCTGCCAATTTAGCTGATGTAGTTTCTAAAACATCTCAGAGCTTCCAAATATTTTCCATTCATTCCAAATATATCTGCAAAATATTCTCCATCAAATTCTTGAAAAAAAAGCCTGCAATCCAGTCTCCCAAGAGAATCTTACTAATTCATACATAAATCACAAACCATAATAACAGTTTGCTTCTAAATCAACCCCACCTTTTGAAAATGAAATTTCAAAAGCATGCAACTCAATGGTTCACAAGGAACAGATAAAAAAATCCTAAGAAAGCCTTGAAAATCCTTTGCCATTCCAAAAAAAAAACAGTTTGAAAAATCCCCAGTAAGAGATTCAAGTACTGGAAAAAGTTACACTTCCCTCAAAACATGCAGAGAGTTACTCCTTCAAGTAAGAAAACTTGTCTTGGTACTGTAAAGTACTATCCTGGAAAACCAGAAGTTGTCAGAAACTTTGGAGTTTCCAAAAAACCTTATTATTATTATTATTATGCAAAATGACCATGTTTATTTCTGCAGCAAAGAAATCACATCTTCACAAACTATTATGCAAAGCAGATTCTTCCAGGTTTGAACCTTCTGGAAATTAATGGTAAATCTCTTGGCTGAATTATGAGTGGAAAAATAAACCAGAACATTACCTTTCCCAACAGTTCAAGAAAGAAGGGATGATGAACAGACAGGGGCTTCTCACACAATAAAAATAATTATAGTAGATTAAAAAATTAATCTAAAAAACCACGTTTTTCAAGTAAGACTAAAAAGCACAAAAAAATTTAGTAGATTAAAAAATTAATCTAAAAAACCACGTTTTGAAAAAGGAAAAAATAACCTTAAACGTGGTG